GAATTAGTTGAATAATTGTTGATCTATTTCCCTTGTCTTCAATCGGTAGAATGATTTAAATTAACCGTAGTATTATATACAGGAAAGTGCACTTATTGAATCTTGACTTATTGAATCTCGACTACGTTATGGAATACCTTTTTGGGGAGCAGCAACTCATCCCCTCTCTCTTCTGTATTGATATTACAGAAGTCAAACCCAGAGAATCGTGCAGGAATTTGTTCAATGTCAATAAAATGTTAACAGTCATCGCACTTTTTATCTTAGAGACGGTTTGCCTTATTTACAAACATGAATCGAAGTTCAACTTTGATTCTACTCCTTATGCCACTCGTAATAGCAATTATACCTTTAGACTTCTATACCTTTAGGATTCCATATACTATAATGGTGGTAAATGGTTCAATCATTTACCATTAGAAATAAGATATGTAAATTTAAGCAACATTCATTTCAAAAAGGCGGTGAAGAACCTACTTGTTGATTGTCCCTATTATAGTTTGGAAGATTATTTTAGCGAATTCTTTTAACAATATATTAGCAATTTATTCTTTGTGTCGGTATTTTATCTATACATTTTTAGAACTTTTTTTATATTTACATTCATACATTTTTGGAACTTTTTTATATCTACATTTATACTTTTTCAGTACTTTTTCTATACCTATTAACACTGTATTTCTTGGACTTTGTCAATAAGATGCAAATCTTCGGTCAATAAAGTATATTTTGATTTGATTTGATTTGACTAGTGATTGCGATTGTTTCCAAAGTTTAACAGGGGTATTTTTTGCTTCTTCAGACCAAACAAAAATACCGGATTATTTGAATTTGACGACGCATTGTAATGTTGCAAATATATATCGCTCCCCTATATACCTCCATACAAAATTAGGTTTTTTCAATTTCAAAATTTTCAGAATTATACAGATATTTCAAATTATTTGCACGACAAAATTAAAAGATTACAAATATACGATGTATATGCATTAAAATGATTTAGTTTTCTACCAGGTGCCATGAAATGTAAAAAAGGGATTTAAAATGAGATCGTTCTTCGAGTATGTGCTATTTGTTTTCCGAATTTTAATACAGTACCTACTGATATCAATATTTATAAATAATTTTCGTGGTATTGTATATCATTCAGACTGAATTAATCCACATTATTAATCGCCATAATGAAGTATTGTAAGAATGGCTGATAATTTTCAATGTCGACCCAGCAGAGTTAGCGGTAAATTCTACCTTCCGTTATGTGTCGTGAGTATTCAATTATTTACAACTGAGAAAATATCGATGATCAATTAATTGGTCTAGGTACGTATTTATATTGGAATGCAATGATTTAATTGCTCTAGGCATTGCNTGATAGCTTCAAAATAGTAATATTATCAACATGAAAAAACTACTTTTTAAGCTCTGAAGAAGAATTTAATTAAATTCGAATGATACAGGTACATAAATACAAATACAGAAAAGTTAGAAATAAAAATAGGATGGATATAAAATGTGTATATGTATAACGAAACAGTTTCAAATAAACAGAAATTAAGTAACATTGTGTTTTGAAAGTATTATTTAAAAATTCTTGATAATCATAATAGCCTCCTTACACCAACAAAGTTTTTAGCCGAGTTTGTACACATTCATACGGTTAGTTAATCCAAGCCATAAGAATTTGGTACATGTAGTGTTGAGTTCTCTAATTTATATATTTGATATTCATTTTTTAATAATGGCAGCAGAGAAAATTGCTATACATATGACATACGGAGGTTTTTTCTACCTTTCCGAAATAATGATATTCATTTTTTAATCATCTATTTTAAACTGCGAGCGACTCTCCAAACCTATCTTTTTTCTATCCATAACCATATTCAACCATATAGAAAATATGAAGTTATATAATTTGATCCGCCATGATATAATAATATTTATTTTTCAATTGTTTCCGTGAAACACGAGAATAAATCACTTCTGATTTACTATTGATAGTTAATCCTTCACTATTTCACAGTTTTTTGCGGCATTTGGTGGAGTAACTTTCTAGATTGATTTCGATGTGATAAATTTGCAACACACAGAAGTACTCTTTGTGATGGAACTAAATTATTTTACAACACAGGAGAAAGGTCCATACCGGAACAAAAACAACTTGATGGAAAGTTCTTCATTGTTTCCCCATCAAGTATACAACATCAATATTCAGCTTATCTCTAGATAAGATCATCGCCAACGAAACCGGATGCGGAACACACGTTTACTCGAAGAAAGAATAGTCCGAAACACGTCTTGAACCGGTCAGATCAACAGTTCGAATTACTTTCTTTGGAAGGTCATGGTGTGACCTTGAAAGTCCAATTTCTCCTCTTCTTTCACTATTCGATGGCGCGCCTACAGATCAAAGTCACTGACACCTGACGATGGCTCTTCTTACACAAATGATATCGAAAGTGATGGCCTACTTGGAGGAATTTGAGCCTTAATCCGTAAGCTGGAGCTGAGCAGGATATGCAAAGCCAATAGGCGGATCCGCATTCGACAGTGCTTTAATATTAATCTTCGCGTTTTGTCGCCCATGGCTAAACGAATTTGATTAACTTTTTAAACTTTTTTACAAGCTTTTATTAAACTCGGCCTATTAGTATGATAGTTAATATGGGAAAAATCTTAAATATGTTTGGTTTTCGTAACAATGCAAGATCAATTAAATGATGACATTAAATTTGAAAAAAATCTAGTATCTTCTTAACACTTGAATGAATCGAGTCCCGTAGAAAAAAAAGTTTTATCACCATTTTTCAAAAAGTTATTCAATTGTGAACTAACAAATTTTTTCCCAATCTCCGTTGGCATAAATAATGGGATGAAAGGTATAAATAATTGGCCTATAAATTCTAAAAATGTCCGTATGAGTAAAAATTTATCAGAAAAGTTAAACTCCACGATGAGTTTGTTATGTATATGAATTAATGACAATTAACCGAACTTGTTTTTTTAAATAAAGGGGATATCTGTCAAAAATAAGCAAAACGTTAACTTTATTCTAGTTGCATAAAATTTGGCATATGAATATGAAATTGCCGTAGACACAACTTTTTCAAGTAACTTTTTTTAAATTTGAAATGCACTTTTTCAATTTTTTTCAAAAAAAAAGTTGAATTTGACAAACACTGAACGTCAGTGGGTCGCAGTTTGCCGCATCATTTTAAGTTAAATTCAAAGCACAAACAAGTGCCGAAGTTAAACTTCATTGAAACTTTTCGAAAAAAAAGTTTCCCATATGGTGCGCTCTTTAGTGACACTGTATATTTAGAAACTGTTGATGAATGCCGTTTTTGCTTGTCCTGAACGAATCGGATCTAAAAAAGGAGTGTATTGGCTGCGCAAAAGTAAAGAAGAACAGACCTCGAAACGTAACAATTTCTGTCGATCGTTTAAATCTCGAGGCCCCCACTTTTCGAGCTTTTCCACATTTCCAATATCTTTTAAACCATGAAAAACCGCATCAGAGCCGACGCTCAGTTCTTCCGTCATCCCAGCACCGTCAGCACTGTTGTAGGTCGACTACTTTGGGACTGACTCATCTTCGAAGCTAAAATCTCCAGAATGAAATTTAGCAAACCAAGGTCAAACATTATCATTGCTATATGTCAGGTAGCTTTTATGGGTTATTTGGTAAGAGCTCTGGTTCAATTTGAATTCGTAGAGTTAATTGATTTATAGGATAAATGGACTGGCTGAAAGGGAGTACCTGAATAGTGATCTCTGAGATTATCAGATTGAACTCCGCCTAGTTGAGAGATGTCACCTCAAAAACCATCTTTTTAAGAATTGAATGAATTGATATCAAATTATGTATTTTTTTTGTACAATAGACCACGACTCGAAATGTCAATTACAATAGATTATACAGTGTGGTCCACTAATTCAATTAAAATGCCTCGCCCAGTATTATTAACGTTAACTGATAAGGCAGAATCAGTTTACTAACTGAATATTCATATGAATAAACTGTCAATAAAAGTATAAAATTTATTTTATTCTGACAACAATGCCTCAACTAGAACAGATATTGAAAAAACAATCCAAAACCTATCGCGGATAGCCATGAACAAAAAACACATAAAACGTAAAACGTTTTCATATTTGTCATCAATTAAAATGCCTCGCCCAGTATTATTAACGTTAACTGATAAGGCAGTTTTAATCTGTGGTGATGGTTATAAAACAATGCGCGAAGCTGCAAATATTTTCAACGAGAGGCATTCAGACAAACAAATTTGCTATTCAAGTGTAAGTAGAATTTTAAAGCATTGGAAGCTCTTGTCTCCTACCAAGAAACGTCTAAATTGGTAGCAAATTGCCAAAAACGACTCTCCTGGATAGGAAGACTTAACAGATTGTCTCTGGTCTGGATTGCTGGCCATACTGGACTGAAAGGCAATGAGGCTGCTGACTCTTTTGCAAAGGAGGGTGCCGCAAGCAGCTTCATCAGACCAGAACCTGTCATTGGCATCGCTTTGGACTTTGCCAAATAAATATTGATCACGTGGATGGTAAGAAGATTTATGGACTTCTGGCAGAATCTTCCAGGATTGGCTCAGTCCAAAGCGTTTATTCATCCTTCGAAGCTTGATACCGAACAGTTGTTGGACTACAGTGGGGATGAACTACGATATCTAACAGGCCTTCTTACAGGTCACTGTCATTTGAATCATAATATGCAGAGACTCGGATTGTCGGAAGACAGTGTGTGTCGCCTTTGTTTGGAAAATGATGAAACAGCAGAGCACATACTTTGTGCCTGCCCCGCTGGGGACCGAATCAGGTTTTTAAAGTTCGATAGAGCCATACTCTTACTATCTGACCTGAAAAAAGACCACTCACCATACAAACTAATCGGCTTCATTAAGAAGCTGGGTTTATTTGGTCGAGTGTGAATAGGTGTGAGCCATAATAAACTTTTGTGGGTTGCGGTGGAGGGTCAAATAAGGTTGTCCAGAACACGTGACCAATTCTCGAACAATATGGCCGCCTGTAGGCACACAATGAGTACAATGACATAGGTATTTCGCTGTTTTTTCGTGTTTTGTTATCTTTGGAAGCTGTGAAAATAATTATAATGGCTGTTTTTAATAAAAGTGATTATTTACTAACATTGGAACGTGAAAACAAAGACATTGCTATGCGTTACAAAGATAAAATTAGAGTGATACAGTGCATGGATCCTTTTACTTTCACTTCAGAAGAAATGAACAGTTCTATAGAATGTTTTCCACCAGTTACTGCTTTCGATATGAGTTCTTATCTGGTGCTAACTTATCGTTTCTATACAAATCAGCAAATGAAGGCCTACAAAAGTTTGACTGGCTACAAATATTTTGAAGCTGGATTTGTACATGATTGTGAAGCAAAGTCAATCGGAGAGCACATTGTTGTGATTGTCAAGGTATTTAGATATTTTTCAAACTTGATTTATTCATAATTTTCTCTGAATATGTATCTTGATTTTAGGTTAATCATTCACAGAGGATGAACAATCCCCCACTGCAAGTTTGGATTATATTCGAGAAAGATGGTGCAATAATTTCAGCTCATTATACCTGCATGGCAGGCCATTCTGAAGTTTGTAGTCACGTTGCTGCTGTACTGTATGGCCTGGAATATATCAACCAATTCAATATATCATCCAATTCTAGAGTGCAGGCATGAGGCTTTCATGTTCACATTCAATGCTGAATTTCATCTCATACCTATTCTTTTTTTATTTCTTGTTAACTGATTTTTGACTCTTTTCAAGAACATTCGCTGAATGCATAGTTTCATTCAATGAATGCTATGTATGTAAATATTTCTTTGAACTGAAAAATCATAATTGAAGTTTCCATATTGTTATGAACCACCATGTGAGAAATCACTTTTTTGAAATAACCATTATCGTGAATCATTTGTTCAATGAATGTGTATTGAAACTGACTTCCTCGTCTGACGGGGAGAATAAACAAAAATACAAATCTAGACTAAGTATACATATTAAAAAAACAATTTCATGAGGTTTTTTATTATAAATTCAATCTAACTCAAAGGTACTATTGGTGGGCAGATATTAATTAATCCACAACACACAGTCACTATTTTATCAAGATTGTATCACCTTCACCACAAACAAGCAGAGAAATTGGCACATAATCTGATAGAATCCTATATTTTTGACGAATGCAACCTATTACTTTTTCTACATTAATCTTGACATGTGCAATGGCTCTAGTTGCTTCTAAATCAATTGGATGCAACTGCTTGTTTCCTTTGGTAAAAGCAGGAATTCACTAGGTATTTTTGTAAAAGTTCACCCGATCACGATCCCCACGGCTTCCGCAATTTACAACACAACACGTTGTAGGCATGATTTTATGTTATGAAGGACGATTGATATGTAAAATCAGCCTCAAACAACGAATTTCAGCAAGCAGCAACACAATCACTCACAAAAACAAGTTGATTATGGACTTTTCTAGTTTTCTTTCCATAAGAACAAACAACATGTGTGCCTACAGGCGGCCATTTTGATTTAATTTTGACAGAATCTCGGATAGGTCTATAGACCCACTTACTTTGGACCTAACCTAACATATTCTTTTGAGGAAAAACGTATCGTGATCGTGAAGTTCAATTTAGTTGACGTTGTTTATAAGTCTGTTCGGTACGTATCAATCCGAGACTAATTCACTATCAAAGCTGGTACTCAAATAATTAACAGATGTAGCTATATTGTAAAGTGCTTTTCTATCTCTCATCAAATAGTTTGTAGAGCATAAAACTAACAGCACAATTTCTCAATGAGATTATTTAACGATATTGAATCATCATAATTGTAGAATGAGGAAACAATACTCCTATCCAACACCACACAATGAAATATAAAAAGTAGAACCAACAAAACTTGATAATTTCCATAAGTCAGTGTAACGAAATGCAAATAATCTAGCAAAATTTATAAAGCAAAACCGAAACGAAATTAATCAGTTCACTTGCCTTTTGAATCCGGAATTGCTTTGATTTTAACTTTTTTTCAATATACATTATACGCTGTCTGTTTAAAATATTATGTAGTTAAATGTCAACGTATTCAGGCAATTATTGAAAGGTCTTTTATTTTGTTGTAGTTAAAGATATTGACATTATATTCTAGGGTTGTGAAGCATCTGTCAGTAGCTTCAGAAAAATTTGTCACGAGACTCCCCTTTCAATTTAATTTTTTTCCCAGATGGCGCCCAGTCGCCATCTTGAAAGTTCCATCTGCCAATTTCACTTCAAAATAAAGTATTCATGCAATAATTTCATTATCCCAAATTTCAATTTTTTGAGTTGACCCATTCAAAAAATAAATGGGAAGGGGACATTAATAATAATATTAATAACGCATATATCTTTTGTGACCGAATGTTTGTAATATATAAGAATTATATTTCTGTATACTTTCAATATAGTCAGATGCATTTCGTGGGAAAAAATCTGCATGAATTAAATTTAAATTATTGGAAAAATATGAATATTTAATAGGGCACATCGACGATAACAACAAATTGGATCCATTTTTGAGGATTCAGAAGTTAGGCGGGATTCATACGACTAAAATGCTTACGAAAATTTGTATATCAAAACAATATATCCATTTATTACATAGTGATTTGGAATTCATTCACACAGTTGATTTAGGAAATTATCTAACTGTTCCCAATCACGATTACGTTATGGTTGACACAAATTTCCTCAACAGACGCCTAGAGCCGTTGATAAGAATTCAGAGAGAGCTATTTCATTTGCACATTTGGAAATAGATAGTGTTCTTTCAAAACTGAAAATAATCAGAATCATTAGTGGACCATTTTATCGGTACCAAATGAGCAAGTAGGCAAACACTGAAGAATTTTATCAATTCATTTATGGATTCGAAAGTATTTTTTCCAATATCGATTTGAGAAGTACGTGAAATCTTGATGTCTTAGGATTATACAAAAATAGTTTTTTTCTGAGGGCATTCCTGAATTGTACTTCAACGAAAGAAACGATTTCGATAATTATACGAGAAACAGAAACAACAGTTGCTAACTAGACACTGAATAGACGGGGGTTTTCCACACTTTGGATAAAAATAACTTCTTAGACAGATACCAAGTAGGCACTGTTGTAGTTTCCAGAACGAATAAAGAGAGTATTTTTCATCGCTGATTGAACTTTCATCAAAATAATATGACCAAGGTAGATTCTAACCTGAAAGTATGAAGTCAGAAATATAAGTTCGAAGTCTGCTGGAATTGCAGCATTGTCTGGCGAAAAATCAAAACAGAAAAATACCAAAATCTTGGTAACAACTATCTGTTCCATCAAGTAGCGGTTGAAACTTTTGGTGTTTATAGCCCGGTATCTCTGTTATTTGTTCATGAACTCGGAAGGCCAAGCAACGGAAGATTACGGTTCTCTTTTTTGATAGAAATAATTAGTATTGCTATTCAACGTGGTAATGCTGCTTCGGTCCTTGAAACTATTCATCCTTCACATAATTTTGATGAGATCATGCATTGCCCTGATTTCAGTTCGGAACTGAAATCTTTTCAAAACAAGTCGAAATATGTGTTTATTCATCGTTTTTCTATCTAGCTTAATTCGCAAGTGATTGATCCACCTTCTTTTTTTTAAGTGCGGTCAATGGACATAGGTCATTTTTGCCTCCCAAACATGAGCTGCAGTCCTAATGGTTTTGGACCCCTTTCAGTGGAAAAGCTTCATGGAGCAAGAGCCGAATCGATCCTTGTACGAAACCCTTCATCACTTAGAAGGGTCGATTGCAGCTTGAGAAATGGTTCGGATGCAGATTATGTGGAACAGAATCAGTAGAGAGTTGTTCTAAAAATCTTGCGAAGAACATTGAATCAGATAATTTAGGAAACACTTGCTACATGAATATCATTTCACAAGTGTTGTTTATGACGAAGAATTTCAAGAACGAGGTTTTTGACGATGAACGAGAACGAGAATGTTTCCTACTTTCACCAAACTATAACACCTGTTCATGCAGCTGCAGTTCACTAGATACTCGTTAGGACAACAAGAGGATTTTTCCGAGTTCTTAGGGTTCCTGTTGAATACTTTTCGTGAGCAGGAAAATAGCAGAATCAATACTCCTGACCGCTCTGGATTGGATGATTCCGCACAGTCTATCTCGTTTTGTGTTTCTGCTGGAAAAATCCTTACTGGTTTACTTTGTAGTACATTATCAAGAGATAGCAAAAACGTATGTGACTTTCTAGAAGTTTTCTAATATGACCGATACTCAGTTCGTGCAAAGTGTATTGTTGAATCATCTGAAAATAGAACTTTTACCGGGTAATGATCAACTGTATTGTTATATATGCACCAAAGTAACATAATATTATAAGACAAGTATAGCTGAGGCACCAGTCAATCTAATGATAACACTGATGATCTTCAAACATGACTCAACCTCTGACGGAAATACCAAACTCTTACGAAGGTTCGAAATAGATGAACACTTCGATCTAGCAGACCACTATTATAATCTTCATGCAGTCATTGTTCACTGTGATTCTGGTGTTGAATCCGGTCATTATTATGCATATGTCAAAGACAAAACGGACTGGTTTAAGTTTGACGATAGTCGTGCCACTAAGTGTTCTGGAGATGTCTTGAATTTATCGGAGCCTCTGGTGACATCCTACATTTTATTCTATGAAAGAGATGACATTGGCAGATCAATATCTTCAGATGATGTGGTGCTGCGGGTTTTTCCGGGTTTTCCTGCAGCTGAAAAAGCAAATGCGCCACTGGAATCAATCAAGTCGCCCCGGAGTGCCAATTAATTTTTGTCGTTGTTTTATAATTTCATAATTTGTATTACTTTTTTTATATGTTTCTATAGATAAAGATTAGTTCAAACAATAAATTACAAGTTTTGAGAATTGCCAAAGGATGCAATATTTGTAAATGAAAAACAAAAAAAAGTAGATCATTTTTAGCTTTCATATACTCGTAGTTCCATCAAGGGTTAACCAGTACAACAGCAAAATTGATGTATTAGAAATATAAGTTTTTCTTCGTGAATGTCATATTTTTTTTTTGCTGAAGTCTATCTGATTGATATGACATTCTTGATGTTTATTCCACAGATATCCGATCTACCTGAGATACGATAACCTGAATTAATACTCTTGGCGGACCTATTATTTGAAGTCGACTAATCTAACCTAACCTAACCTAACCTAACCCAACTAACCTAACATATTTTGGTAGATTTATCGTGAAACTGCGGGTGGCAGGTTTCACGATATTGTTGCAAATCTGATTTATCGTTAAAGAAACCGTCTATGTAATATTACGTAGATGGTAGAATATTTGCTATCGTAAATTCCGATTACTAACTACTACACGAGTAAAAGTAAAATCCTTGATCGAAGAAATACAATACTGACATGAGTTAATTAGAGCATTTGTGTGTCATGTTTATTCACTTTCATTTACCGTATCTTCTTATATAGTTGATTAATCGTCTAGTTTGGCCTATGGTATTGGACATTATTCACTTTCAATTCAGCACTATTCATCAGCAGATGTAGTATCTTTCTCTTAGTCAAATATTTAAGAATGGGTTATTTCATGAAAGTTTCTTTGATGAATATTAATAAGAAACGAAAAATACTTCGAAATAATAATAGAAAATTACGTTTATTGAATTTTTTTCAAGAAGATTGGCTTCTATATATAGAAACCTTCAATATGTTTCGATTCTGAATATCTCAAAAATGCAAGATTCTAGCTGAGATGCAGAATATGTTAATGAGTATACGATTAGAGCGTCCTTGTTCTCATTTGTGTGTGCGAGTTTTCTGAAATGAAAACCCAGAATAGATTAACATATAATGAAACTTTTTCAGTATAGTTTTTAAAATTTTAAATGAATAACAAATTGTAAAAACAATATGAAGGAATTCTAGAACAATTCAGAGGAAATACCTATGATTGAAATTGAA